CAATTCAGAAGCTCCACGTAATTGGAGTTGGTACCTCTAGTTTCCTTGGACTTTCTCTTGCAGTGAAAGGTCACTACTACGGCTGATTATATTCACGAGGACAAGAAGCAGAGAAGGGAAAACCTTCCCTGAAGCTTCTTACTGACTTTCAATTGAATTCTCATTGGATAGAACTGGGTCCACGTGGCCAGGCCATGCTGGAAGAGGAGGTTAAAAATGGGGGACGGCTAAGATGAGCCTACCTAGTGTCTGCCTCACACAGCAACTTAAAAATAATATAAAAATACAAAATGCAGTAAACTCTAAGAGCTGAAGACTGAACGATCAAGATTCATCTTTGAACTCAAGATTTTTTCCACACTTGCTAGCCAAGCAACTAAATTCTGAAGGCGTTGTTCCAACTTTGTCTGAGGCATGCATATAATAGTAACAATAGAAATACAACAATTATTATGATAAAAGCATGATAGGAATAATGCATTGTGGTTTATGAAGCCAGATACTTTATCTTCTTTGACTGCTCTTTTATAAAGATGGGGTTTTACATAGTGGGAAACTAAGATACATAGATGGTTTGTTTAAAGTCATCCAGGGATCCAGGATGAGAAACTCCTGACATAGATTTGTCATCCCTTACTTACCTCTCGGTACCAATCAGGGATTTCAAGATCAAGAAGAATGATTCAATATAAAGTTCATAGTGTGACAGTCTCCACAGCCTATGTTAACATGAAAGCTCAAAAGTAAAAACCCTATTGCATTCGAATTTTACCTGTTTGGCTTAACTATCTAAATAGGAATTCTGTTGTAAACTTCATAGATAAGCTTAAGCCTCCACTTCATTTGTACTTGCTATTCTCTCAGTGATTAAATTTCCACCCAGGAAAAGTAGTCTTGTTTGCTTTTTAATAATAAAGAAAATTAAAATTTTGAATTAAAAAATTTAAAACAAGTCTTCTATAGTGAAAGGTAATGTTAATTCAAAGTTTTAGAAGCAGCCATTACATTTTTTCTTTCGTGTTTTGTGCCTAATACATTGATAGAATAGCTTCTAGATTACATGAGTGTATACACATGTCAAAAGGCACTGAGCTGTCCACAGATTTGTGCATTTTATTATATGTCCCTCAATGAAAAGAAAACTCTTAAAAATGAAATTTAAAAACTGCAGAAGGATCAAATATTTAAACCTTAAAATTAAAGTACCAAGAAAGAAAAAAAGAGATTAGCATCTAAATGAATGTTGACTGAGTGACTGAATAAGTGAACTTTCTGAATCAACTCAGTACAATTCCATTGCCTTTTTTGAATTGATGTATATTTGTAAATTTTCAGTATCTTAGAATAAGTACTAAGTTTGCAAAATGCTGTGGAATCGGTGAGATTTATTCAAGGTTAGGAAATTACTGATGCTGCAATGTAAGCTAAAGCTCTGTACAGGAGTTTCTGTAAATTCTTGATTTTCACTAGGAATTAAACCCATATTACCCATTGTAACATGCTTAGAAATGCTAGAGCTGAAGTCTTCCAGAAATTTGGAGTGCCAACAGATTCTGGAGGCTATAAGCCCCACTCTCCCTTGCTCAAGCCCATCTAGCCCTTGTCTGTTTTCCCTTTAAGAATGATCTCAGGGTGTCTAGGAAAATACTCTAGCGTTCCATAATATCTTTCTTCAAAATTTTACAAACATTCCTACAATTGCCCTAAGTAACATAGGTAGGGATATGTTTTGTCCATAGGAAATGAGAGGCTAGGAAACTCAAAAAGTAGCACAGTTAATGAAAATAGAATAAATATCTCTAGGCTTTGACTTGACTCTATTACTAGACCATGTCCTTTTTAGCCCACTTGTGAAAACCAACTAATCAGAATCTATTGAGTTTTATGGAAGAAAAGATTTCCATTAATATTAGACTTATTTTTCTTTATCTTCATATATTATAATCAAAAAAGATGACTAAAATGCTATTTCATTTTAATCTTGAATGATGAATATTATGCTGTCAGAGTTGTACATTTGCAGCCAATTGTGTAGTGATAGGCACCGTATGAAACCTAGATGCTTTTATTCAATACATAAATACTTGTGACATTTCCAAGTTTTTGTTTCCACACATGCAGCCAAAATAGTAGTGGCCTAATGGCATTTTAATATAAGAAAGCCTGGTGTGATTGGAAGAGGAAAGATTTTGGAGGCAGTTAGCTATGTCTCTCCATACCAAATATGCCACTAATAGCTGTGTGATCACAGGCACATTACCGTCATTGGGCCTGCTTCATTGTGTGCACAGTGCCTGACTCTTAAATTTTGACATTTGAATTAACTCATATGCTTAGCATTGCACTTGGCTTAGGGTAAGTCCTCATTCAATGCACACCAGAATCATGATAATTTACTCCAAAAATTATTGAGCATTTGCAAGCCCCTTTGCTCAATGCTATACAAATGTGTTTTTAGAGCTTACTAATTAATACATATAAGAAGGAATGATACAGCTTGATTCTTTAGCCCGGAGTTTCTCAGTCTTAACACTATTGACGTTTTGGCAGTTAGTTCTTTGTTGGGGAGAGGGAGGCTACCCTGATGACTGTTAAGTCTTTAGCAGCATCTTGGGTCCCCAGTACTAGCTGCCAGTAGCACCATCCCCCCTGTCATTTAGGGCAGCCCAAAATGTCTCCTGACATTGCTAAATATCCCCTTGGGGACAAAATTGCCTCCAGTTGAGAACTATAGTCTTCAATCAATTCTCTATAAAAAGTGTTTGTGGACTTCTAGTCCTAGAAGATTCTTCCCAAAAGATTTCTGGGTCAAAGCTCAGAAACATTAAATAACAATAATAGTGATAGTAATAATAATAATAAGTAATTTTTGAGAAACTTACTACATGCTGCAAACTGTGCAAAGACCCGGGCCTATATGAGGAATAGGAGGAGAAAAGGAAGTAGGGAAATAAGACGAGACAGAAGGCAGGGTTCTATGTTATTATGGCTTGCTTGTCTCCTATAGATATTTGACTTTGCAACCTTCACGCTAAGGGCAGCCAGCCAGCCAGCCAAGAGCACAGTAGTGGCACGGCCAGGTAGGCACTTGACAATGCTGGCTAAAGTCCGTAGTGTTTGGTGGTAGGGAGATCCAGTTAAGACACTAATGCAATGCTTTATGGTAAGTGCTAAGAGATAATGAGGATTGGGTGAAGGGGTCAGATTTGAGAGTGTTTATTAACAATAAAAGCAGAGTAGGAAAAATCCTCCTCTTAGATGGTCGGTAAGAGCAAGTAAGAATTTATTTTTAGAAGAGCTGTCTGTGCAAAACAAAATGATGCACTTTCAAGGAAATAACATGGAAACACGCTAAGCAGCTATTCTGGTAACCGGGAGAATTTGCATTAACAAATCCCATAAATGCTCTTCTAGAAACCAGTTCCCTTCCCCATTATGCTTCCCACAGAAATTGAATACCCCAGTTATCTAGTGAGGTGTAAGGCTAAACAGTAGATCCTGAATAGTACCCCTGCCTTTGTAGTCCAGGCCACTTTGTCTATTTTCCTCTAAACGTGCCACCCGGGAAAGATGAGTCAGCATTAACGGACATTCAGCCGAATGTGTTTGAGAAATGATGAACTGGCTAAGACACGTTGGGAAGAGATTGGTCCCAGACACTCAAAGTATGGTTGTTGAATGGGTGAATCCATCAGATTTTGAATTCACTTTGATAACTGATTTATGCATGTAAAATGAAATTAGCAGAAAGGGAATGAAAATCTTCAATTGCACTTTTCTATGTCCTATTTTACTGAAAATAGCTCATGGGTCACTCTCTAAAAATACTCCAGCAAAATACCAAGTGGACTTTTACTTCTATGCATTATGCAATTGATATTTACAACTTTATTATTTAAATCTTCAAAAGGAGTGTACTGCCCAAAATATTTAATTTTATTTTTTCCCAAAATATCTAAGTCAAACCATCCTTTAAGATTCATTCTCTATACTTCAGTTTATTTATGATGAAGCAATTTCTTTCACCACTGACAGAAAGATATTGTTAATCCCTTCTCTGACAGTTTAGAAAGAAACAGTTTTTTCTAATGTTCCAGCAATTTCCATGGCTGTGTCTAAAATCATAATTAGTAATAATATCTTCTGTTTAAGGATGCCTAGTAGATGCCAGGTGCATTGAAAGCATTACTGTTTCAAATAAAAACAACAGCCATACTAAAGAAACATCCTTGCCCTTTTTCAGGTGGGCAGAAAAAGGGTCAAAGCAATGAAGTGGTTCAACCAAGACCTCATAATATTTCCCCAGTTGTATTTTAAAGCTCAGACTTGGGTGCATTAGTCAGCAAAGCCTGTGTGCTTTCTACAGTATCATTCTCCATCCAGATTTTACCCCTACTCTTTTTACTTCATTTAAATGTTAACATGAACTCATAGCTGGCATGCTGCTCTGTGTGACTAGTTCTAAGAACCTCTTACTTGTCTTTGCTCCTGAATGTCACTTTATCTCTATACTTAAAAATTATGGTTGTGTGTAATGAAGAGTAGCATACCTTCCAACATGAAAAGAAAAGATACTGTTTTCCCAGCTTTGTGGAACGTTAGTTTAGAAGACTATTTTTAAAGTGTTACCTAGATTCAGGAAGAAACTATACACATCGTTTTTATCACATATTTGAAACAAAGAACTATATGTCATGGTGAACATTTTTACCGACATAGTAGTATTTATAAAACCAAGTGTAAAAGAAGGATTTCTATTTGATACACACGGATAGCCAAATTAAAAACTTCTCGATAAAAATGATTGCCTTCTCTGCCCCAACCTTTTCCCAATAGGAAGGATTTGGGGATCCAAATCACCTGGCTAATTGATTCGGGCCTATTTCAAGTGGTGATAGGGAACTTCTGTCTTACGGTGAAAATTTATTGTCCTCTCTGCAATGAAAGAATTAATATTCCTAACGTTCTTATGCGTCCTTTTCTTTCGTTGAACATTGTAGGTGTATCAATACATGCACGAAACAATAGCTGTTAATGGCTGTCCCGAATTCCGTGCCAGAGCCACAGCAAAGGTAAGGCCTGAATAACTTTAAAAATATACTTGACCCCAGTGATCTAGTAATTGATTGTGCGCGTGTGTGTTTCAGGTATTCTCGTGTGTACACTGTAAGAGAATTTAGACATCACTGGCAGCCCAGAGTCTAGAACCAGTACTACTTCCCAGGTAAAAATCCTAATGGAAAATTGAACGTTTCTGCTGCTTCTGTAGCTTAAGAAAGGAGAATGATTTCATTAAACTCACTAGATGTCCATTTGGCACAAGCAAATCTACTTGTTCACTGTATGGAATAATACATGGCTTTCTGACACCTTCCTCTGATCTACAAGAACCTGTTCCCTATTCACTGCATGAAGATTTACTTGCATAAGTCTAAGGATTTGACTTAAGGTAGACATCTAGAAAACTCACCTGACACCCGTGGACACAGGGTTCTTCAGCGTGGACAGCTGAGCAGTGGGCAGCTTGCTGGAAAAATATGTTCACCTACAGAGAAGGCCTGTCACCTTTTGTGGCAGTGACCACATTTTCTTTAAAAGCTCAAATCCAGAGGTTGCAGAGACTCTGCTAGTGGAATGGTGCACCAAGAGAATCATGAAATCATCTAGAAAATAAACCGTTAGGAATCTATAATTTTAAACTAAAATCACTGATACAATTCTTACTTTACAAATATAGAAATATTACAATAGATAACTTGCTTTTTAAAGGTTTTGTCTTTCCAATAATTTTTAGAAATAAGAACTGGTTCAAATAATCAGAATTTTCCATTTAACTATTTTGTGTTACATCACCTCCTGTTTGGTTTTCTCTCCTGATATTTTTTGGTTTTCATTCTGTAACTAATCACCAGGTGGATTTATAAGAATTTGTTTTAACCCAGGCAAAAAGAGGATATTGTTATCATTACATCATGCTTTGCTTGTACTGAAGTGGAATACACACAGAAAAATGATCCCTACATGGTTTAATTAAGGGGAAAGTGAATTATGTAGTCTTTTACCATTCTCATTTCTTATTCATGTAGAACAGCAGGATAGCAGCATAATGTTGCAATAGCACAATATTTTCTGGTTGTTCTGGGCTGTCTGCATTGCATCCATGTCAGCCATTAAAATCTGTGCATGATGACAAGGTTTGCATGAGCAAATGCATGTAGCTAAAAACAAGCCATTATTTCCATATCATTCACTATCTTTCACTAAATGCAGACAGTAGCATAATGCTGAATTGATGTCGTAATGCTGTGTGTGGAAAAGAACGTATAGTAGTTGGGAATCAATATTGGCAACGTGGAGTAAATCACTTTATAGTAGGCTTTAACTGTGGTTAAGACAGGTTAATGGAAGTGGAAAATGAGAATAAGGTAGAGAATGTTTTCTTGATAGAGACTACTTAAATGCTGTATTTATTTCCTTGAGTGGTGGGAACTAATGGTAAGTTGTTTCCTTCAACTTATTTTAAAAAATTAACATATGAATTTTAAAATAAAATTATGCCCATATTGAACAATATTTTTTGCATCTAGATATAGAACCATAGGCTGCTCATTTTACCGATGTTGCTATAGTAGCTGAAATATTAATGTGAAATGTAGGGAAAAAAATTCGTGCAAGAGAAGGGGACCCCTCATAATATGGACTATTGATGTGAAATAATAACAGTCTGCTTGAATCTCTTATTTTATGTTAGTTTTTATTTCCTTTTAGGCGTCCTCAATGGGGAAAAAAACGGAAATTTCCTAAGGCAGTGGTACGGCAATAGCAAGATTGCATATGTATTCAGTATATATACATACAAGTACTCATAAGAATATTGAATAAATCCTAATGAGCATTTCTATGCAAGCCCTTGGTTAGATTGTGTGGATAAAAAGAAGTGGAAGCTGTAATCTCTGCTCTTTAGGTGCTAATAGTTAACATGTATACATAACGATAATAGCGTATGTACACTATGTAGATAGTATATAGTCAATCTTAGTTTGGAGTCCAGGAAAAGGAGGAATTATATCTAACTGAGATAACTGGGAAATATTTTTATGAAGAAGCGGAATATTTATCATAATGGATAAACTTTAAAAAGCCAGAAATAGCTGGACAGAGCTTCAAAAGAAAGGAATCATAGATGACATCCGAGTGAAGAAAACCCCTCCCTGTGTTTTCTTTCTTTCACAGGACAATGTTATAAAAAATAGGGGGAGATGCCTGACCTACCCCCCACAGAGCACCTGATGAGCCTCGTTTCCCTCGTGTTATTACCGAGTGACCCGTCTTTTCTTTCAGGCAACAGTTGCAGCTTTTGCAGCTAGTGAAGGCCACTCCCACCCGCGGGTAGTCGAACTGCCAAAGACTGATGAAGGCCTTGGTTTTAACGTGATGGGAGGAAAGGAGCAAAACTCCCCCATTTATATCTCTCGCATCATTCCCGGAGGGGTGGCTGAAAGACACGGAGGCCTCAAAAGGGGAGACCAGCTGCTGTCAGTGAATGGAGTGGTATGTTCATAAAATAACCAGAGGTTTTCTCCCTAAGCACATTCTTTCTGTCCCTGCTGTTAACTAAATTCAAATGTTGAAATCCTACAAGACATCCTAAGCATTAATGGATGGTAAACCTGCAAAAGCAGTAATTTTATACTTTTTATGCCTCATTTTGTCTTGCTCAGGTATGATAAGTAGGAACTAGTTGGAAAAATCATCCCAAAAAATTATCCCAACTAGTGGCACTGCCCCCATAGAATACCGCAATTGAATTAATGTTTAGAAGAACGTATAATTTCAAGGCACTTTATTATCCAAAGGTACTATAAGCAAAGGCAAACAGCTAAAAATAAAGATAAAATTCCTCACTCCATTTTTTTTCATTTTAACTAAAGAGGAGGGATAATTTTAATGCACAGATAATTCCTTAAACCAGGTATACAGCTAAATATAATAAAAATACATTAGTCTCTCACTCAAACATTTGATCACATTATCTATTCATGTTATATATATTAGTTTTCACATGACCTTAAAGAAAATTAAAACATACAATATTTTAAAGTAAAAGTATGAATATACTTTTTTTTTCATAACCTCCCTAGTCTTGGATGCTGCCTCCTCCACATGTAATAGCAAATTAGTAGAGAGAGCTTCATGCAAAATGACTTCTCCCCCATAACTTCTACTTGCATCAGAATAAATTACCTAAAAGCATTCATTTCAGAAGTATGAATAAGAACATATCAATAGTTAACTGTCTTCTAACCTAAAATCTTTCTCCTGAAACCTTCAGGTTTTGATAAACTAGACTTCGGTTATTTGTGGCCATTGATTTCTACTTAGAACACAATATCCGGAGTAAAATCCATTTGGAATGTGGTATTTTATCAGTAACGATGGAGTAAATTCTTGTTTATGTATAGCTTGCATGCTGTTTGTTTCTTTATTTTTAGCCTGACTAGTAGTTTTACAGAAACTCAAACCGTTCATACAACTCTGCCGATCTCTTAAGTACATCAATCCACGAATATTTTGTGGCACTTCAGTATCCCAATTCTAAAATTACCATTTCATTTACTTTTTTCTATGTAACAATGCTTTGAAATGAGCTTTTTGTTGAACTTTAGATAACTATGATGTTTTCAAGCTATGTTTCAACTGATAACTTCAGAGTCAAACTTTCTGGCCTAGGGCTCTAGAGTCAGGTCATGCAATTATGTCACAAAGTAGTCTGAGTCCCAGGGTGTGCATTTACAGTGTCATCGAATGTATCGGGTAGGTCAAAGAAAAGTATAGGTTTTAAAACATGAAAAGTACAAAAAAAATACCAAAAGTACATTACTAGAAATTGTAATTATATAAAGCAACTATACATATATATGAAATCAATTTAGTAGGTGACTGCCTTTTAACTCTCTATCAAGGGAGTTAAGAGCCTTTGTTTAGCCCACATATTTGCAGGGAGCACAGCTGTAGGTGTCTTGTAATCACCCGTCCATTTTTTGCAATGGCCACTGGACTCTGTCAAGGGGGCGGCTGCAGGGCCAGCGGGAGAATGATTTCAGACACATCAGGCTGTACCACTCAGCATCCATATGGTTATGGAGTAATATCTCCTGAACCTGAATTTCCTAACCTGAATAAGGGGAATCTTAAGGAATCGAAGGGCTCTGATGAAGAATAAGATGAGGCAAGATGTCTGTGGAGAACTCTCTGGTGGTGATTTGGTCACACACACCTTTAATGTAAGGCTGGTTACTCAGGAAGCTTGAAGACAGTTGGCAGTCACCCTATGATATTGGTAATGGTAGTTACATTAAAAGGAAATATTAAAGCAAATTCTGCTACATATATAGGCATATTTTTGCAAAAATTTATTAGCAAAATGGCAGTAAGACTCATAGAACCTCTTCCACAAGTTTGATGAAATCCTAGTTCTATGTGCATTAAGATGTTCCAGTCATTACCCCGGGAGAAGGGTCACTTGAGACAGAGGGAAAACACTGCCGGGCTGGCGCATGTTGCCCTTATATTTAGCATCACATGACCAGAGATGCTATTAAGCTCACAGTTGGAAATAGGAAGGTTTCCTGATCAAACTTAGGCAACTAATCCTATGGTACAGGCTGTGGGTATTTTTAAGATTTTTGTACTCGGTTCATGCAGAGGGAATGTCTCCAAAGTCTCTAATTTTTCACATATATTTAAAACCTTCAATTTTACCAATTAAGTTTCATTTATCATGTTAGTTGAGTCACTAATTTCACCAATGAGAATCTATCTCTGACATATTTTTGCTAATAGGCAGAGCACCATTTGCTCATTGACAAAGGCACAACAAAGGGTTTTATAGTGGCCCACCTCTAGTGTTGCCTTCCTGCTGTAATGCTTGATGACCACCTTGTATGGCTTAAGCTGCTACAGCTGGAGCTTACAACATTTCCCATCCATGTACCCAAACTATAGATTGTAAGCTGCCTATTTTAAAGTATTTAGAAGTAAGTCATGTGCCTTTTAACAGTGCCTAATATTTATCAGATGTTTATCAAGAGTTTTCCTTCTGTAAACGAAAAATGTCGTGACCCAGTGGGTTTCCCATGGTCACACAGAGAAGAGTTCATCCCAGGCAAGAACCCTGGGCCTCCAAGACCACATCCCCAAGTCTTTTTGGTGTAAATAATACCAGTCAGATAGAAGTATTTAATGAAAAGCAAATTACTCTGTAATGGAAGGGCCAGAAAAGATAAAAGATTAACAAGTGATCAGATTATTTCTGTTTATACTTTAAAGCATCATTTGGGAAGATTAATATGGAAAAATTTCAGAACATGCCATTCTAAACTGAGAACAAATCTTGCAAGGAAGTGATTTGGAAAGCTGAAACAGACCTTCACTGCTTCTGTAGAAGTACTCTGGGGAAAATTTCCTAATGTCCTAACTAAAAAGTAAAGAAATTATTCTTTGTTCTTTAAACATCTGAAAAGACATCTGAGAAGATGTCTTGATTATATATATGTGTTTGTTTGTTTTTCCCTGCTTGCTTTTACAAAGGATATGTCATGATGTCTGGTAAAAAATAAAATATGTTAATACAGCATGTTAAGTAACAAAGTGGCATGGGAAGAGGGAAAATCAATAAATAGAAATGAAGAAAAGATACAGCAGTTGAGTGAGTGATTTTTTTTTTCTTAGTTTCTTAGAAGTCAAAACAGGAGCAAACTCAACCCAACTCAGCTATCATTAGGGCAAGACTTTTTTTTCTACTCTTGAGCTCCAGAGAAATTTCCCATGAGTTTTTACAAATGAGACATTAAATCACCTAATACAATTTTACAGAAAATACAGAGGCCTTCTGTGTATGCCTACTTCTTATCTCAACTCTCAGTAAGCACTTCGAGCTGAGTTCTCAGTTAAAATTTTACACTAACAGGAGATCAAAATGCTAGTTAGAATTTATAGCTTTATAATGATCCTTTTCACTCTTTTATGCCCATGTGTTTCATCAACAATTTTGAGAAAGGAGCTCAAGGTCTGTTTATAAAGGTTGCAGCCAGTGTGAAGACACAGAGATATTAAATACATTTAGTGATAGAATCTGGATATTAAAAAATCTCAATAGGATGATACAATATGCAAATTTATTAAGAATCTACATGAAGTCCTGCTCCTAAGCCAGAAAGCTAGCTAACTGTGTGCAGAATCAGGGAAGAATGGGTGAACATAATACCTGAAGAAAAAAACAAAACAAAATGGGATTTCAGTTGATTTCAAGAGGAATATGAGGCAATGGGAAATAAAAATGTTAATGTGATTGTAGGGGTCATAAATGTGAATATCATGTACAGACGTGGAAGGCGGTTGGCTCAGCTCCTAAAGATGCCGTTCGGCTCATACGCCGATGTGCCCCAGTCCTGGCTCCTGACTATGAAGAACAGTCAGTCAGTTCAGAGATGAGCAGTCTCTTAAGTGGTGAACATATTACAGAAGACTTGAGCTGTTTGGGATAGAGAAGAGAACATTTAGGGGAAAGATGGTTGTCTCCAGTTGTCCTCCATTGTGTGAGGTGCCAGGGGCAGAGCCGAGACCACTGGGGAAAGGTCACAAGGAAGGCAGATTTGAGCTTATTATAATAAAGGGCTTTTAAAGACTGAATCATAGGACAGCATGTGCTCATCATTTGAAGTTTTAATAAAAAATTAGAAGACCACCTGGCAAGAGTATTTTAAAATATGGATACTGTGTGGAGAGCTGGAACAGTTAGATCCAGGGCCCCTTCTAACTGTGATAACTGTGATGCTGGGATTCTGTCTTTAGATGGGATTTTTGCCGAGACTGCTATATACCCGCCACCACGCATATGCCCCTCCTCATAAGTAAGGGGTAAGTAGGCTCCACTACTCTGCATTGCTAGTGAGACATTTTTCTGAACAGAGAGATTAGAAATCTACTACAATATAATACTTTTTGCCTATTTAGTACTTTACAGTTTATGAACAGTATTTATATGAGATTCACCCATTTGTTCTTCTAAACATTCTCATGAAATGGGTAGGGACAGAGTTCTCTCTCTCTCTCTCTCTCTCTTTCATACACACACACACACAGACACACACAAACAGAAATGGATATACACTGTCCAATACCCAAACACACACATGAAATGAATTCAACCTTCATTGTGATCATAACCAATGCTTACCAATGTAATAACTGGTTAAAATTTAAAAGGTCAGTCCCAATGAAGTCTTAGTAAGCTCTGTGAATTGTGTCAATGTCAATTTCCTGGTTTTAATATTGTGTAATAGTTTTACAAGATATTAAGATTGCAGGAGGCTGGATAAAGGATGCACAGGACATCCCCATATATTTCTTTTTAGCTTTCTGTGAATCTATAATTCTTTCCTAATAAACCTTTTTAAAAAGGGAGAAAGTCCAAAGAGTCAACCAAAAACCAATGTCGCGCTGATGTTGATGGGCTAGAAGGCAGGTAGGGGGACTGGGAGGCGGAGGAC